GAAAGAGAGAGAGAGACAGGAAGACTGTGGTCTATGGGGCTGACCCGCCCTGCCTGACAGGCGGTTTCCCACATTGCACTCGAGCTGTTGGTGCCCAGCAAGGGCACAGGAAAGGCACTGGGTCCTACTGACAGTCTCTGTCCCAGCAGTAGCCCTCCTGCCAGCTCCCCACCAGCTGTCAGGGAGGGCCTCAGCAGCAATTGCACATCTCGCTCAGGGTGAGAAGGCCTGGATTTCTTGGTGACTTGTGTAGAGTCAACAATAAAAAAATACTTTCTGTTGAAATATGAAGGGGGGAAAAAAACTCACCGTAAAAAACTAGACCTTTTAATCAGGAGTGTGAATTGGAAATGTCCCCTATGTCTTGTTTCCACAGTGTTTTCACAGCCCTGATGGAGGTGCCGGGGACAGTGAGGTGAGCCGGGGCCTGATGAGTAGAGAGGGCCCTGAGGAAGGGGGCATCTGATGGTGTCTTATCTCTTGCAGCAGATGGGTTGGGGGGAGGCAGAGGGGCACCGCTGGGGCTTCCGTGGCTTTCTCCGGAAGGCTCGTGCTCTGGTCACATCTGACAGTCTCCCTGACAAGGAGAGACGGCTGCAACACCTTGAGACAGAGTAGCCCAGGCTGATGGCAGACCCAGCTGGGATGACTGAGCTGCACCCTCACCCCGTGGCCTCCGGGGTGGGGACAGGTGGCTGGGATTAGATGAGAGCGTTCTGTTCTCGGTACTTGCGCCGGCGGGCACAGCGGGGGCAGCCCTTCTTCACCACAGCCTGGCAGCTCTGATGGAAGACTGTCTTGCACTCAGCACACCTGGGGGAGAGAGCAGCAAATGCTGCTTGTGCCAAATGGGCCGGAGGCCTCTCCTGTGGCCGGGGGCTGGCCAGTGTTGTCCACCAGTACCCAGGAAGGCTGTGTTCTATCCACAACCCAGTGCACGCAGGCAGTACCTCTCCACTCCAAAACAAAAGATTCTTAAGATGCTTACCTGTAAATGATGCAAACATTCTGATATTCTCTTTCCTGGTTCATTTTTTTAAAATGCTGTTTGAGAGTCACTAAATTGATTTATTGCCTATGTTTAAAACACTCTGCAGCTTAAAAAACTCAGCCTTAGACCCTTTCAGGGGCTGATCCTGGCCAGGGGACATCTATTGAAAATGAATCCATGCTCCCACTAGTTCAGTTTTCCAGTCCCACTAGGATTGGGATGAAGGTTTGGTGGATGAACTTTTCCATCGAGAGGCTTCTGAGTTATGTTGTTAAAAGCATTCAGATAAATGAGCAGTAACTGGGGACAAGATGCAAATTACAGCAGCAGAGTAGCAGCAGCAGCAGGTACCATCCACCAGGTAGGTGCCCACTAGATGTCAGGCCTGTGCCAACACTCCAGGGCAGTTAACTCATTTAATCCTTCCTCAACCCATTCATAGATAACAAAACTGAGGCCCAGAGAGGCACCCACTCAGAGGGTCTGCGGCCACCTCTTCTGTAAGCAAATGGATGGCTCCGTAGAGTCCTGTGAGGGCTCGTCTTGTCCCCTGAGCTTGACCAGAGCCAGCCATGTGAGGGCGTGGGCTGCTCTGGACAACCTCCACCACCCTTAAGCACCGACAGAGTGAATGTTCAATATGTTCCCACAAAATGGAACTAGGCCTGCCACCCCAGAACACTTGGGCGAGGCTGTGGGTGTGTTGGGGTGACGGCATACCTGACCGTGGTGTCAAACTCAAAAGGGAAGATGATGTCATGATGGTGGCAGATCTGGCAAATGAAGCCACGCTGAGTGCACAGATCACAGTGGTAGACGTGCTGGGAGGCGAACTCAATCAGGTCCTTGAGGAATCCTTCGTACACGCCCTCTGCAATCTGTGGAGGGTGAGCACAGGCCGCCAGGCCTTTTAGGCAGCAGTGCTGACACTGTCTGCAAAACAGGGCCGGCTGCTGCTCATGGCAGCCTGCCTGTAGAATGTCAACCCCAAGGTCCCCATAGGGCAAGAAAACCTCCCTAAATCGGGGTGAGCAGGTGTCCAGGATTTACACATAAGACCCAAATATACTGTACCTTCCCCCTTGAGGAAAGAGTGTCCCAAACTGTCATCCCTGTGGCCCTTCCACCCCTTACTTTCCAGGCTGGGGGAGGAGTCCAGATGCAGAGAAAGGGCTGAGAAGCCCTGTGATCCTGGGGTTTGCTGGAGGACCTGCTTATTCCAGGGGGCTGGGGGCCTCGCCACTGCCCCAGGAAGCTTGGGGCAGGCATCAGAGAGACCCATTCTGAGGACTGAGAAGCTAAAGACTGCACCTCCTCCCCATCTCCCTTTCTGATTCTTCCAGGAATGAGCTCCTTCTAGAGAGGATGGGGAGTGGGGAGAGGGCACATGATCTTCTTACCTGTTGGAGGTCAGCGACGCTGTACTTGTGGGGGAACTCTAACAAATAATTCCTGTGGTCGAGCCTTCAAAGAAAACAGAAGAGATTCCTTAGGAGAGTCTCCAAGACCCGGTCCAACCTGTGTTCTATTTGTTTTCATTGTCTCAGCTGTGAACCCAGCCTAAAAACCCTTCGTTCCCTGAACCAAATTGTGGTTCGGAGCACAAAATGAGCTGCCCGGGCTCGGGACCTGGTCTTCCAGGTAACTAGCTATTGTGACCGTGGTCAAGCTACTCAGCCTCTCTGAGCCTCAGGTTTCCTCATGTGAGAAATGGAGTTGTTTTTGAGGATAAAATAATTTATTTAAAGAATTTGGACAGTACCTAGCACATAGTAAACACATAATAATGATCATGATGACAAGGAAGATGAAAGCTAACATTTGGTACCAGGCACTGAGCTAAGAGCTTTGTATATATATGAACTCATTCTAGCCTCATACAGTCCTGTGAGGTTGGTACTATGTAATCCTCATCTGTGAGAAGAGGAAACAGAGGCACAGAGGGGTTAATTAATTTGTCTGAGGTCGCATAGCTAGTAAGTGGTAGAACCGGAGTTTGAATGTAGGAGTCTGGCTCCAGAGGCTGTGCCCTTATCAGCCCTGCTGAATGCCTACAGACGTTGGCTGTGGTATTTGTTGCCACCACTATGTGCCAGGCACAGTGCTGGGGACAGAAATATACAGGATGTGGCCTCTGTCCTCCTGCAGCCCTAGTCAAGCGAAGGACAGATATTCAAGCACCTGGTTTTGGTGCTACGTGACAGGAACCGGACATGCCCTCAGCTCTACAGATCCTGTTTCAGAGGCGGGGGGCAGGGAGGGGGCCGTGCGGAGGATGAAGGCTCAACCGCCTGCCCGGTTCTCGTTTCCACCACGCCAATGGCAGAGATCCCATGGGTGACATCCTAAGGGATGGAGAGGAAACACCTGCAGAAATTCCCCCAGTACAAAAACCTGCCTGGCCTTGCTCTGTGTGTGCGTGTTGGTATGGGTATTGGGGGTGGGGAGAGAATGCTCTGAGTCAGAGGAAGCTTGGGAACCCGCCCCAGGACACTGAAGGTCACACCGGGAATCTGGATGGTACCAGAACTATGGGACATCTGGAATGGGGGCTTAGCTATGCCCCACCCCATGGCCTTAGCTGCGGTCCAGGGACAGCCCAATATGAGGCAGAGATGGTGGGTCCCACCAAGTAGCCAAGTGGGCCACACTGCACCACATGGGGTGGGAATGCTGCCGACAGGCCCCTCAGTTCACCATGCTGCTTTCCCCAGTGAACTTCCAGCATTCTGGGAACAGGAAGCTGCCATTTATCACCAGGAAAATGTGTGTGTGCTGGGGAGGTGGGGGGTAGCCCACGCTGGCCCTGAGCTGGCTGGAAGAAGCTGATTGGATGGAGAGTTATTTCTGTTATCTGCCCTCTGTCACTGTCCTGGAAGCCGTGGGCGCCAGCCAGGCCCAGGTCTTCCCTGTGAGCCACCATACCCTGGCCTGTCACTCTCAGCTACAGCAAGGCCTTGCAGCCGGTTTCTCCCCACAAGACTCGGCTGAGGCGGGGGGAGAGCACTGGCCTAGGGTGAGAGGCCATGTCTCATCCTGGCCTCTAGTAAAGAAATCCGTGCACATTAGGCACACCCCACGCCTACTCGGGGCCTCAGTTTCTCCCTCACACAACGAGGAGACCCCACTCTGTTCTCTGGCCTGAGGCTGACTCTCAGGGGAATGGATGAGAGGAATCTTTTGGGCTCCCTGGAAGAAAGCGGAAGATGAGAGTAGATGGCTGTATCTTAACTCCTATAACCAATAAAGCGATGGGGTGGGAAAGGGCACCACGAGGGGCTTGGAGTCTGGGGCAAGTCTGTCTGTAGGATGTGGTGGGTGGCATGGGTGTTATGTGCCTCCTCTGAGCCCTGGGTTCCTTCTCTGCCCACCCCTCCCTGGGCTGTTGGGAGAAGCACCTGAGGTCTGGTGGGTGAGCACCCCTGTGGGGCACTTCTGTGATGGCTCCTTCACGAAGGCTGGAGAGGATGCTCTCCCGGGCTTCTCTACCTCTTGGAGACGTGCCTGTGTCCCAGGCCTGCCCCTTTCTCTCAGAGCACCCAGCCAGGGTGCTGCCACTAGTGAAGGGGAACTCCACTCTGACTTCACCACCCAAATCCAAGACCTGCTCATTCTCCTTCTCAACCCACCTTTCTCTCAATTTCCACTCTGGCTGACTCGGTCCAGGCCCTCTCATCTCCCTGGATTAATTACTACACCAACCACCTGCCCAGACCCCATCCCCTCCAGCCCCTGTGCCCCACTGCTGCCAAAGTGGTCTTTTCTAAAACCTGGATCAGAATGTGACAGTCCTTTGCTCAAAACTCCTCAATGGCTCCCCAGTGCCTGCAGAATAAAACCCAAACGCCATCAATGTGGCACACAGGACCTTCGAGTCTGGCTCCTGAGGACACCTGGCCCATGCACCACAGTCCAGCTGCCCTAGACTCCTCGCAGGTCCTCGTGAGCCACGTTCCCTCCCACCTCCACGTCACAGATTCCCTTCGGAAAGCCAGGCTCTCTCCTCCCTCTTCTTCTCTTTATTTTTCTAAACCCCAGTTCAATATATACATGATGCCATCAGTGTAGAGGCACCTGTTTCCACGTGTGAATAGACAGAATGAGGCCTGAAAGAATACTCTACCGACAATGATGGGGTGGGATTTGAGAAGGGGTGATTTGAATTTCTTGCTTTTCTCCCTGTTATACTGTTTGAATATTTTAACATCACCCATCATGGACTATCTTTGTAAACGAGAAAAGTATTTTTTTAAAAAGGACTCCGCAAACCCTCAGCTCAGATGCCATCCCCTTTGGGAGTTTCACTGCTTGCCCTCTGGGCCCTGCCCAGGCTGGTCGGGCATCCTCCCTCACAGCACACACTGTGCTAACCCGGGGCCATGTGTCTAAGAACCCACGAGGGGTCCAGGGCAGCTGGACTGTGGTGTGTAGGCCAGGCATCCTCCAAGGTCCTGTGTGCCACAGTGACAGAGGCAGTGGGGAACCATTGCGGGGTGTGTCCTTCCCCACCACTCGGTAAGGGCACACGAACACAGGAGTTACTGGTCCATTTTATGGACAAGAAAGCTGGGGCTCAGAGAAGTGAAACAATTTCCCCGAGTCACGCAGCTCTGGTACTCTCTCCCCTGCCCTACGCTGCTCCTAAAATGAACTTCCACAGGTGTGGCCCTGCTTGCCCCCAGGCTGGGCACACAGGAGATGTGCAGCCCTGCTGCTCATGGATGGGAGCAGCAGGCCCAGGGAGAGGGAAGCAGGCGGCCCCCAGCACCAGCATGGGCTGGGCCAGAGCCAGGTCAGTAAGGCCAAGTGCACAAGCAGTCTCCGAGTGAACTGGAGTGGCTCCTGCGGACTATGCAGTCTGCTTCCTGGTTCAGCTTCTGCTGGGCTCAGCACAGTGGAGATGGTGAGTGGGGCCAGCACGAGAAGCCACCTCGCAGCCACCTGGTATACACAAGGTATGCAGGTCTCTGCCCCTTGATCGGGGCGGGTGATGCAGCCCCACCCGACCCCTGAGATTTTACCACCCTGTCGGGGCAGGAGGACAGACTCTCTGGAGCCCTCATGGGATCTCATAAAGGCTGGGAGTGACTCAGCACCCTCTGAGAAGAGAAGACCCAGTCACCCAGCTGACAATGGAGGTGGGCAGAGACTCCCAGGGCAGCAGCCTCCGAGGGTCCCTCAGTGGTGGTTCCCAAAGGCCTTTGTTCTTCCAAGCCCTGCAGAGGAGGCCTGGGCTCAGCTGGCTGCTCTGTGGGGCCTGTGAGGGGCCAGCCTGTCCCCTTTGCTGAGAGAGAGCTCCTTGCAGCAGCCCCTCCTTGAGAGCTCAGCAGACCTGCACTGGCGCTGCAGGCGTGACTCTGGAGAACTACAGAGAGGACTGAGGAGGCGCTGTCCTTCAGAAAGGTGGTCTTTGTGCCAGCCCTGTGGGGAGGGGGACCCTGGAAGCCCATGTGAACCACTCAAGTCCCAAAGAACCAGCAAGGGCAGACATCTCATGCTAGGCAGTAGGCCCCAGCTCCTCCGCCTGAGGTCTGCCCTCCTGAGACTCCAGGATAGCAGGGCCCTGCAGAAGGCTGCAGCCTGGGGGTGTCTATGAGGGGGAACAGAAAGGCCCTCTAAGTCCATGCTGAGGGCCAGCGTTACCTCCCACCCCTGAGCACTGAAGGCCCCGAGGCCCTGGGCACCAAGAAGCTTCTTGAAGGTCATTCTGAGGGTCACACCCCAATCTCACCCTCTTCTGACAATTTTGGGAGGGATGTTACCATCGACACCATTGGAGAGAAGACTGGCTGGGGACAGAAGGAGACAGGGCAAGACAGCCCTTCATGGTCTCGCCCTCACCTGCCTCTCCAGCCTTCCTCTCACCACATTCCCCCACTCCCCTCCTCACTCTGCCAAAGATCTTTCCATGTATGGTACCTTCGTCCACAGCCTTGTACATGCTGGTCTTTCTGTTTGGAAAACTCTTCTCCCCTTCTCTTCCTCTTTCCAACTCCTACTCATTTTTCAGGTCTCACCTTAGAAGTCACTTCCTCCAGGAAGACTTCCCTGCCATCCTCCTGCCCCAGAGAACATCCCACCTCTGGGCTTCTTACCTCTTTCTCACCTAGGCCTCACCCCCGAGTTACTCATCTGCCTTCCCCACCAGACAGAAGCTTCAAGAGGCTGGGAACTGTGTCTACCTTTTTCAGCCATGTATCCCACACATGTAGCCCAGTGCTTGGCACTTAGTATGTTCTCAATTAATATTTGTTGAGTAAATGAATAGATGAACAAACAAATAAAACATTCCCAAAGCACGTGGTAATTTGCCAAGACTTATGGGAAGGAGATCTCAGCCCAGCCCTGGCATTTCTCCCAAGTAGACTCCTTGCCTGGATACTGCCCCCACTCCACGTTTGTGCGTCTTTGTGTGTCTTCACCCACGCCCAGGGTGCTCACCTCTTGCTTAGCTCCTTCAGGGCCCCGCTTCGGCACAGGCTCAGGTAATCTCCCAGAAGCTTCAGCTGCTCTCGGCTCCTCCCGATGAGGCACATCCGTTCCACGTGCTCATACAGCGATGCATTCACCAGCTGCAAGTTGATGAAGGGCTGGGCCTGGATCTGTGTCAGGAACTTCAGGGCCTGCCGGCAGATCTGTGGACACCACCAGGTATCAGGAGTGGGAAAGAATGGCTGTTCACTGGGCATTCTGGGCCAGGCACTGTTACCTACTCACTCATTCACCCCTGCAAGGAAAGTAGTGCTATCTTCATTTTACAGATGAGGAAACTGAGGCTGGGAGTGTGTCAGCACCCCCTGGTAGAGTCAGGATTGGAACCCAGTTTATCTGATTCCCAAGCCCGCCCACCCTCCCTCCATGGCACCAGGCTGCTGCCCCTCCCTGACCATGCTGAGTTGGGGGATGGGCTGCTATGGTCAACGCCCCTCTCCCCCTAGACCTCACAGACCCTTCCCATTATTTCCTGTCCTAAAGAAAGAGGTGCTCCCTCCTGGGCCCTGACTCAGAAACCAGGTGACTGGTCTGAGTCAGGCTCCAGACACAGGAAGCCACAGATCAGATGCCACTTAACGAGAGATTTTGCTTGAGCTCCTCCAGCTCTCACCAGCACCAACAACCAGGGCTCCCCAAGTCTCCGTGTGGAGCTAAATGTTCAATCTCAGTTTCTACCAACTGCTAGTATTGAAGGTTCTACCGTCAGTCCTGGCCCTAAGGACAATGGCAATTATTGAACACCTATTGTTTGCCAGACACTGGGCTAGGGACCTTGACCACATCGTCTCTTAATCCTCGTAACAACCCTACAGGAAACGTGTCATCATTCCCATTTTACAGTTGAGGTAAGTGAGGCTCAGAGAAGCTAAAGGACTTATCCAATCCCACCTCTAGGAAGTAGAGCCCAGGTGTGCAGGCTATGCTGCCACACTGACTAATGAGAAGCCTCTCTTGCCTGCAGTCTCCTCATTGCCGTGGTAAGAAGGATGCAGGGGCTGAGATGTTCTCCCCAGTCGACTTCTGCAACTCCTTCTGAGTTGGGCTTTGGAGTCAGAACTGGGCTTGAATCTTGGCTCCATCACCTCCTAGCTGTATGACTTTGTGAAACTTAACATCTCTGTGACTCAGTTTCCTTATCTGTAAAATGGGGATAATAAAAGCACCTACCTCATAAGATGACTGTGAGTTTAGATTAAAGGAGACAGTCCATGTATGTTCCTGGCACAGGGTGTGTAGCACATCCTCAGTAAATGTGAGCTGCTACCAGGCTCTGTGGATGCCTGTTGTGGCCCACCTGTCCCCCTGAGGGACTGTAACAGGGCCTACAGGAGATCTGCCCCTGTACTGGGGACTGGGGAGGCCTCTGGCCTCCTCTCTCCCAGCTCCATCAGTATTTCTTGCCTCTGCCAATGGACAACTCCTTCTTTTCCCATTTCGTTGAGCCCTGGGGTACCAGCCCCCTCTAGCCTAGGGGCAGCCCAGTGGCAAACCCCTGTTGACTTGGATCAAACTGCTGCTCTCCAGGCCCAGCCCAGCTCTTCCTATGCCTCAGCCTCAGGCCTTGGGTGAGGCTAGATGAACTAACACACAGGAATGTGCACTAAGAACTGCCAAGTGCTTCAGATGGGCAGAGGCTTCATGCTCCCCAGGGACTGTTCCTATCCTGTGGGCGAGGAGGAGACAAAGACAGAAGTCCCCGCCAGCCTGCCAAGCGCCAGCGAGGCCTTGACACAAGTGGGCCTGCCAGAGTGGTTAATAGTGAACAAAAAGGCCCCAAATTCCGAGCCAGCCACTGCCTATTTTGAATTTCCCTGTCTTCTCCAGGTCAAGTGACCTTTGGGAGGGAGCTAGATATTTCCTGATCTCACGTATGCCTAGAGAATGATTTTAATTTTCTAGTTAGAAAAAGGAAATGGCACAAGGATTTACTGCAATGAATAAGAAGAAGGCTCAACAAAAGCATCAGGGTCTTCTAAATATCGAATGTGTTTTATGGTCAAAGGGTTCTTTGTATTTTTAGGTTTAATTTCCTCTGCGTAGTTAGTCAAATACTTAACAGGGGTGTGGACAACATAAATAGCAAAAAAGCCAAAGTGAAGCCAACTTCTTTGGGGTTTCCCCTCCCCAGGGGGGTGAAGATGGGGGTACCTACCTGCGGTACAGGCTACCAGGGGAGGGATAGGAGGCACCAATCAGAACTGTACCCCCAGCCCCCAGTCCTTCCAGGCAGCATGGAATTGATTTTAGGGATCACCTTCCCTGCCCTCCAACAAGCACACACCCACAGGGCCAAGACTGCACGACTGGCAGTCCTTTGGTCTGGAGGAAAGCAAAGAGCTTCTTCCTCATCTTTCATGTCTGCCGTATTAGAAATCTGTGCCTTTGGGAGAAAGCCAAGTTTGCACCCTTTGAAGCACACCCTGGCTATCGTGACCATGTGAATTAGGGGCAGGAGGAGTGACAGGCGCCAGGCAAAGGGCATTATTCTAAGGCACTGTCTTAAGTGACAGGCGCAGACTGACACAGCTGACATGCACTCTCTGGTTTAATCCTCCAACAACCGTGGGACAAACAATGGTTATCAAGCCCCCTTTGTAGATGAGGAAACTGAGGTTAAATAATTTGCTCATGGTAAAGTGGCTAAGCTCAGCCAGAGAAGAGAAAAATCTGTAAGATCTTAGAATACATATTGTCTTAGGCTGGATTCTCTAGAGAAGCAAAACTAGTAAAGCGTATAAATATATACATATATATAGAGAGAGATAGAGAGAGGAAGAGAGAGAGGGAGACATTTATATCAAGGAAACAGCTCACACGATTGTACAGGCTAGAACATCCCAAGTCCGTGGATCAGGGTAGAGGCCTCTCCCAAGTCACGCAGCCGCAGAAGCTGGCGAACCCAAGATCGGCAGGTCCGAGAGCAGGGCTCCCGCTCACAGGCTGTGAAGGTTGATGAATTCCAAGATTGGCAGGCAAGATCACAGGTTTCTCCTGATTCACACAGCTGCAGGGGCTGGCAAACTCAAGATTGGCAGGTCAGCGAGCAGGGCTCCGCTCACGGGCTGTGAAGATCGATGAATCCCAAGTTCGGCAGATAAGCTGACAGCTCAAGTCCCAAGAACCGGAGATGAGATGACAGGAGGCAGCTGCAGGATCCAGAGTGAGCAGAAAGCTGGAATGTCTGCTTATATTCAGATGCAGGCCACACCCCCAGGGGGCTTCCTTTTTTTTTGCTTGGTTCTTCCCGTTTTTTTCGATTCTGTTTGTTCTGACTTTCTACTCCTGGTATTTTTGGTCCTGGGAGTTTTCCCCTTAATCTTCTGCGTCTCATTGCCCCGCTTGTTTACTTGGCACTTTTACCCATCTCTCCTTTTATTCTACGTCATTTGTTGATCATGGGAATTTGCCCGTGATATTTTCGTCTTACGTGATACGCGTACATTCTAAAGCGGTCTGGGTCTGTTTTGATTTTATTTTTCTTAAGTGTAGGTCTCTTCACTTTTTTGTGTATGTATATAAATGCGCATTACTGGTTATACTTTGAGTTGTTGTTTGTGTTTCTGTTTGGGTGGTTTTACCTGGTTTTTATTTCTCTCTTGTTTTTTCTGTGATTTTTTATTGTTTTCTCATTCCGCTATCTTCTCTTTTTGTTGTGGTTCTTTGCCTGGGGGGTGTTCTTTAAACCTTCTTTTTTTTAGTTTCTTTAACATTAGCATGCATGTTGTGATTTGTTTGCAGTGTTTTTCGGGTTGGTTTCATCACGGGTGATGGTTGTACGGGGAGTTGCGCTAGCGAGTCTGCTGCCTTGTCGATCTGTTCTTCCCTGTCTCTTTTTTGTTCCTTTTGTTCTGTTTGTTTTTGTTTCTTCGTATCTATCTCCCTGGTGTTTCTTTTAACTGTTTTGTTTGTCTTTTTGTCGCTGGGGATAAGGATCCTCAGGTTGTCAGGTGGGCTTCTCGGCTTGCATTTCGATGTCTTTGGTGATGTGTCTCCAGTTTTTGTCTTTGTTCGCTTTGGCACTTCGCCGTGTGTGCCCTTGTGGCATTGGCTTTCGTGGGGCCAGGGCGGCCAAATCTTTGCGGTGGGTCAGTAGGGGTGATGGTTGGTGATTCCTCTGTCATTTCGCCGTCTTGTGTGGTTGCCGGATGCTTGTTTGCTGTGTTAGCGGGCGCTTGGTGTGGTGGCTGTTGTTTTTGATCCTGTCTGTCCTCCTTGAGGCCTCTTCTTGGTGGCTGCTGTGTCTTTCCTCCTGGCTGGCACCGTCATTGTGTTTTTGTCGGGCCATTGCGACGTTGTTTTGCGGGGGGTGGTTTGGGGTGATGGGGAGTGTGGTAGTGCGCGTGTGTTGGCTGGGCGTGGGTCCTGTGTCGCGCTTCATTTGCTGTGGAGTGAGTGCCTTGCTCTTTGGCTTTTTTTTTTGGGATTCTTTGACGGTGGATAAGGCTTTCTGTTCGTCTTTGGATCGCTGTTTTTGCAGCCTCTTTGTGTGTCTTTACGGCAAATCCTTGTTCAGAGTTATTGTCTCTTCTTTTTAGGTGAAGACATTGCTGTTTCGGTGGTTTAAGGGGTCTGCTGTAATTCGCTTGCTGCTTGGTTGCTGTCTGTTGGCTTTGAGTTTTGGTTTGGTTTGTTGTACTGCGTGTTTTTTTCTGCTTTTGGCCGATTTGGCTGTTGTTTGCTGCTGTGTGCTAGCCTCCTCCAGGCCCACCCCTCCTCTGAAATGGGACAACTAAGTCAGGGCCTCGGGAAACAGGAAGGAGCTGGGGAGATGGGGCTGGCCACAGGAGTGGGTGGGGAAGTCAGTGGGAGGCAGGGCAGCCTGGAGATGGCCAGTTAGAACCCAGAGCACCTGATACTTAGGAGAGTGGTGCAGGGCCCAGGTTCACCCCCTCCGCTGGAGGTCCCTCTGGAGCAGGGGGCAGTAGCAGTGGCAGTGGGTGTGGCCAGAGCACAGAGCAAATCCCGGCTCAAATCTTAAACACGTGCCCTGCCTCCTACAGGGCTGGGGAGAGTTCCTCCGGCCTTGAGACAAGGAGGGCCAGCTCTTCTGCTTACCAGCTGCCTCATCCTGACCTGAGGAAAGTCACCGAATTTTTCCAAAGTTCCATTTCACTATCTGTAAAATTCAGCTACTACTAGCTATTTTATAGGGTTATTACAAAGTTTAAATGACACAAGGTTTTGAAAGTGCCCTGCAAACTAGGAAATCCAATCCAAGCATCAGTGGTCAGTGTCTGCCTAGCCACTTGTCTGTGCTTGCAGGGTGGAAAGGAAGCCCCAACTCCTAGTCCTGGCTGGCAGGCTGGCAGGCAGGAATCCCAGTGAGAGCTGCCCCCTCTAGCATTCGCACCTACAGGTGGGTAATCCCTCCTCCCTGAATCTGGCACCCACAGGCTGAAGAGCAAAGTGTGAGCGTTGGGGTGGGCAAGGGATGAGTGGTGGCTTGAAGACATTTTCTGCAGGAAGCTCTGCTGTGCCTAGCTTCTCCCATCCTCAAGGGGAGCCAACCGCAGACCACTTCCTTCCAGACACTTGAAGCAGGCTTCCCCATCCAGTGCCACAGGCTCCACCTCCACAGGACAGCTTCTCAACCAAGAATCAGCTGACAGCCACACCTCCTGCTTTTGCATTCTGCAGCAGGGCAACCTCCTGACAGTTCACCTGCAGGGCCCTTGGTGATGGAAATGTGTGTCTGGACTAAGAGGAGTGGGAAGAGCTAAAAAAGGGATATGAGCAGTAGAATATCATGCAGTCTTGAAAAATACAGGCAGGGGAGACCCTCTGGGGTCTTGGCTAAGAGCACAGGCCCTAATTCTGGCTCCACGACTTACCAGCTGTGTGACCTTGGCACAGGGTACTTACCAGCTCTGTGACTCAGTTTCCTCATCTATAAATGGAGATGATAGTAGCACCTATCCCTTGAGGGTTGTTGTGAGGGTTAAGTGAGATAATCCAAATAAAGCTTTTAGCCCAGTGCCCAGCACAGAAGTACTGCACTTGATGATGATAATGATATAGCAGTTGTACTGATTTGGAACAATATCCGTAATATATAAGTAGAAAAAAACCAAGTTGTAGAACAATATATATACAGATATAGCTGTGCTGTCTAATATGGTAGCCATAGCCACGTGTCTATTTAAATTTAAACAAAATTTAAAATTCAGTTTTTTAGTCACACTAGCCATATTTCAAGTACTCAGTAGCCATATGTGACTCATGGCTACCACACCGGACAGCAGAGACATACAACACTTCCGTCATCACAGGAAGTTCTGTTAGACAGAGCTGAATAGCACAAGCCCATTTTTGTAATTTAGAAAATCTGTGCACTTGCAAAAGCATGCAAAAAATTTTTGGAAGGAAACCATACCTCTTATTCCAAAATAATATAATATAGCAATAAGCCAAGGCATGGGGGTGGAGTGCTTAGCTCCCCAGAACTCCGAGTAGTGAACAGCAGACAGCTGGAGCTGCCACCCACAGGTGGGTGACACTAGGGGGAAGGGAGGGAAAGGACTGCCCCAGTGGGTGCTGGGGAGGTGCAGAGGCTGCAGGGAAAGCCTCATTTACTGCAGCATCCCCAGGGTGGGATGGAGGCACTCGTGGAGAGCAGGAGGGAGTAGAGAGCCTAAATCCAGAGCCCACAGGAAGCAGAGTGAGACTGGCAGGCTGTGGGGTAGCACAAGAGTGCATCAGCACCTGCGCAGAAGCAGCCCTGGGAGTCGAGGCCTTTCTCTGTGGGGATGGCCACCAGGTACTGCAGCAGGAAGCCGTTCTCCCTTGTGGCGAACTTCAGCACCTCCTGACAGTTTTCATCCAGACTCCCACCGAGTGTCACTGCCTCCTCAGCCGTCTCCAGGTAGGATGCCAAGACCTCGCGTACGAGCTCCCTCCACAGGGCAGCCTCCTCGGCATTCCTGGCCTGCAGCTTCAGGACAGCCTTGGCTGTGATGATTTTGAAGCAGGATGGGCCCCCGAGGCTCGTGTCTGGCAGGATGTCTCGGATGGTCTCAACTCCGTGGCTGTCACTTAACATCTTCTCGTTGTTTCTCACGCGGAAGCATTTCAGAGACACCAAGGACAGGGAGAAAATATAGGGCGCCCAGGTCCTGTCCGAGTACAGGTACAGGATGGATTCTTTTACAGCGTCTGGCTCCGGGACTTGGGCAGATGACCAATCAAACTGTGTGCCCCGAAAGGTTTCAGGCTCTGAGAGTGGGTCTGAGTGGGAGGGGAGGCCCCCCTGGGGGGCCTCCGGGAGGTCCTCCGGCTGGTCTGGGTACTGGATATTCACCCACTCATCCTCCTGCTGAGGCCGGCACTTATGCAGGGCCTCCTGCACCCGGTCCAGCCAGTCTTCAGCTTCGTCCTGCGACGAGGCACGCAGGGTCAGCTTCTTGCCAGAGAAGACCAGATCAAAGCGCCCATCGCTGTGGGCTGGCCCCACAGACTCACAGCGCAGCAGGGAGCAGTTCTCCACACAGGTGCGTTCCTCATTGCTCAGGTAGAGGCGGAACTCCAGTGGGGAAAGCTCGCAGAAGAGTTCTTTCCAGATGCCCATGGCACCCCGCCGTTCCAACGTGCCCAGCTTCATGAGGCCCCGGAATGGGTTGGACAGCCCTGGAGGCAGAAGGAGGCACTTTAGACAAGGGGCCTGCCCCTTACCACCCAAGAAAACCTCTGGTGCCCGACGTCCCACAGTGGGTGTGGGCAGAGTGACTCCCACCAGCCTTGGGCCACTGCCAAATGGGATTCTGGAAGCCAGCGGGGAGTATTTACTGAGTGCCTCTGCCCCCTCCTCCCCTCAGCTGTTGACTTGGCCTCCTATATTTCACTGAGAAAATAAAATGCCCAACAGATGACCTCCACATGCCCCCTCACTCTAACTGCCCTCCCTCCAGCATCTGTGCTGTATTCTGACTTCCCTCCTGCTGTGAGGGGTGAACTGACTGTGAATCTGTCTGAGGCCAACCCCTCCATCTGTGCAGGAGATCCGCCCCTCCCCATTGCCCACTCCAAGGCAAGGATATCCCTGCAGTAATTTTCCCTCTCTTTCCCGGGTCACCGTTTTCCCCTTCTCTGCTGGATCATTCTACATAAACATGTTATTTCTCCTATCTTTAAAAATACCACATCTGTAATTACCACCCTGTTTCTCTGGTCCCCTTTACAGAAAAACTCCCAGAGGAGGTACTGAAACTGTCTGTCTCGAATTCCCCCGCTCCTGTTCCTTCTGGAACCCACTCCAATCAGGCTTTGTCCCCTCATTCCACTGAAACTGCTCTTTGTAAATGTCACCAATCCCATCCTTGTTGCCAAACCCAAAGACCAATCTTCCATCCTCATCTTGCTTGACCTATCAGCAACACTGAGCCTTCCTTCCCTCCTGAAACGTTTCCTTCACTGGGCTTCTGAGACACTGCTCTTAGGTCTCCTTCCACCTCAGCGGCCACTCTGTCTCCTTGCCTTACTGGCCCTCTTCTCCTGACCTCTAAATGTTGGAGTTCCCCAGAGCTCCTAGGTCCTCATCTCTTCTCCAGGGACACCTACTTCCTAGTTGATCTCTTAGGGCTTTAAATACTATCCATATGCCACTGACTCCAGATTTTTATCTCCAGCCTGACCTCTCCTCTGAATTTTAGACTCGTATATCCATGTGCTCCATGCATGTCTAATACGCATCTCAGACTGGGCATGTCCAAAAATGAAATCCTGATTCTCGCTCCCAAAACCTGCTCCTCCTCATGTCACAAAAAATGGCAAACTTAACCCTTCCAGTGGCTTGGGCTAAAAACCTTGGCATTATCCTTGATTTTGTCTTTCACATCCCACATCCAATCCATCAGCAAATCCTGTCAGCTCTACCTTCAAAACATATCTAGGATCCTCCATTTCTCCCCACCCCTACCAATACCTCGCCGGTCCAATCCACTATCACTTCTGGCCTGGGTTATGGCAATAATCTCCTAACTAGTCTCTCTCCTCACAAAGTCCTTTACTACAGTACCCAGGGCAACCCCTTCAAAAGATAAGTCAGGTCATGTACCTCTGCCCAAAACTCTGCAATGGCTGCCATCACCCTCTGAGCAAAAGCCAAAGTCTTCTCCACGGTCCACAAGGCCCCCCATGATCTGGGCCCATCAGCTCTTCACTGACCTCATCTCTGACCACCAACTTCCCCCATCTTCTCTGCTCCAGCCACCCTGGCCTCTGCTGTTCACTAGATGCATCAAACATGTCCCCATTGCAGGGCCTTTGCATTGGTTTTCTTGCTTGAAGCACACAGATCACCTTGTGCTTCCCTCCCTCCCTTCCTTCGTAGCTCCTCAAACATCACCTTATTAATGGAGCTTCCCTTCACTAATATGAAATTGTACACCCCCTACCCAGCACTCCTGATTTATTGTTCTCTGTAGGGTCACTATGAGTTGGAATCGACTCGATGGCAACAGGTTTTTTTTGGGGGGTTATAGCACTTATAGCACCACCTGACGATACTATACATTTACTTATGTTCTTATTTCCTGTTCCCCGCTACTAGAATATAAGTCGCATGAACATAGGGGCAGTGTTTTGCTTCCTGCTGTGTCCCCAGCACCTAGAATAGTACCTGGCACATCACAGACGATCAATAAATATCTGCTGAATGACTGAATGAGTGAGTGAATGTTTATGTGTCCCACACTAAGCTCAATGCTCCCTGCTGCCCTGGGGTCTACCACCAACCAGGAGGTCTGGAGGACACAGTTCTCTCTCTCCCGACCCGGACTGGCCTTGGAGATTTTCAACTATTATATAGGGTTCCCCCCAGACCCTTGGAGGGCTCCTGAACCCCTCAGGGAACCTGATGGCCTAGATGCAAAGCACACCTTCTCTGGCACAGACCACAACCACCAGAAGGGCTGACATAGAAGCGAGCATGGAGATCAGGGCCCTGCCCAAACTACCCAGCCAGTGCCAAGGGACCTAGCTGGAATTCTCTGCTGGGTTACACAGCAAACAGAAAATGAGGAAAGGGCTGACTCTAGGGCATACTTTTGTTTGTTTGTTTTGGAGAGGAAACCCACTATGAGGGTTACAGAAAAAATTAGGTTATGGCTATTTAACAGTTTCTGGAATTTCAGAGGTGTAGAGATCAGGGTGGCCTCCTTATAAGCAGCACGCAGAGGACACTAAACCAACAGCAGATCTGATCAACGCCACCTGAGCTGTTAAATAAATCATCTCAGGCAAAGGCCTTTGGAAGGAGCAGCTAAAACACCTGGGGCTTTAAGAGGCGGGTTTTCTCCGGGCTACAGAGAGAACCAAGAGTTCTCTATAATAAGTTTTATCGAGTACTTTCAGAGAAGTACTTTCCATTTCAATAGAGGAAGCAGTATTTTTGTACTCTGCAGACAGTTCTGAGCATTATCTTATTAAGATTTTATAAGAAGATATAGAGTACACTTCCTGAAATGCTCTCCTGAATTACTGAGCATGAGCGCCCCTTATGATTACATTTTGGGATGAGGTGTTTCTTATGAGACCACACCACCCATTTGATAGTGGAAAACAGCACGATGAGGACGACCTGGGATCCCATGGAATCACATACCCATCTGCCTCCGGTGCACCACGCAGAAGTTCTTATGCTCCTGCATGGGGGCTGCCTTGGTTTTCCTGCTTCCTGGGGAAGGCACACAAGCTCTGTCTAAGGCCCCCATGGAGTGGCTTTTTCTTGGCCCTAGAGAAAAATGCCTGTGGAGACCAGGCCTTGACTCTGGAGTCCATTTGGCTGAAGATATGGAGTGATCTGAAAGACTCTCTGGGGGTCGCTCTTGGGGAGGCCGGTAGAAATCATCTTCTGAGATCCAGCTCTTGCTTTTCTATTGGGAAAGAAGTAAAGACAGGTTTTGTTTGTAATCGTTAATTCACATACCATAAAATTAATTCATTTAAAGCGTACAATTCAGTGGTTTTAGCACATTATTAGAATTGTGCAACCATCATCACAATTTAAATGCAGAAAATTTTCATCACTCCAAAAAGAAACACTATGCTCGTTAGAAGTCAGTCCCCATTTCCCCCCCAAGCTCCCAAACCTAGGCAACCGTTAATCTTTCTGTCTATATAGCTTTGCCTATTCTGGACATTTTATATAAATGTTATCATACAATCTGAGGTCTTTCATGACTGATTTCTTTCACTTAGCATAAGGTTTTTAAGGTTTATCTATGTTGTACATGTATCCGCACGTCATTTCTTTTTATGAGCAAATAACATTCTATTGTATGGATATACCACATTCTGTTTATCCATTCATCAGCTGATGGACATTGGGGTTGTTTCTACTTTTTGACTAGTATGACTAATGCTGCTATCAACATTCATGTACAAATTTTTGTGCGGACACAGGTTTTTAAATTCTCTTGGGTACATACCTAGAAGTGGAATTGCTGGGCTACATGGTAACCCTATGTTTACCTTTTTGAGGAACTGTCAAACTTTTCCACAACAGCTGCACCACTTTACATTTCCACTGCAGTATATTAGGGTTGCAATTTCTCCACATCCTCACCAACACTTGTCATTACCTGTCTTGACTATAGCTATCCTGTTAGGTGAGAAGCAGTATCTTGTTCTGGCTTAGATTTGCATTTCCTGATGGCTAATGATGTTGAGCATCCTTCCATGTGCTTACTGGTCATTTGCATGTCTTCTTTAGAGAAATGTCTAATCAAATCCTTTGCCCATTTTTAAACTGGGCTATTTGTTCAATTTATCTATTTTTCTTTTGCTGCCCGTGTTTTTGGTGCCGTATCTAAGAACCCATTGCCTAATCCAAGGTCATGAGGATTTACACCTATATTATCTTCTAAGAGTTTTACAGTTCTAGCTCTTACATTTAGGTTTATGAGATCCATTTTGAGTTAATTTTTGTGTATGGTGTAAGGAACAGGTCCTACTTCCTTCTTTTTCATGTGGCTATCCAATTGTCCCACTACGATTTATTGAAAGGACATAAGGTTTTATGGCCCTGCTTGTGGGCTTTGAGGTGAAGAAGGCCACCTCCTACTGGCTGCCTCTGTCTCTGCTCCCCACTTCTGAGCCAGCCTCTGATGCCCCAGGCAACCAGGCCCTGCCCCTTCCCTCTGCTGCTCTATTGAGTCTGGAGTTGCTGGTTGGCTAGGGTCAGTGGGCTATGGAAATAAAGTCTAGTTCCCTTTTTTCACTATCTCAAGCTCTCCCTGCCTTTCAGTACCTAAATGTGAAGCCAGCTGGGAGGCCATAAGTGACTGTCTACACAGAGGAAATGAGTCACACAAGGCATGGGACCAGCCCAGCAATTTAGTTAAGTGCCATCAATCTCACCTTGACATTGCTATTTCTAACTCCTAAATCACAGTTGCACTCTGACAGACAGGAAAATGCAGCCAGGCTGGGCTGCCCTGAAGGGTTTGGTTTGCACAGTTTAATCCATTTAGATGCTACCAGACCCCTCAAGGCACGAGTGTCAAGTTCTGAGTGAAATGGTTGGTGGAGGCCTTCACAGAGCTGGGCTTCCAGGGCCTCCTCCTCAGGGTCCTCAGAATTGGCAGGTGGTGTGTCCTTCTGCCAGCGACAGGGTGATGTGTCACCCAAGGTGGCTACTGGCGACCATCCACAAAACCAGATTCTGAACCCAGCCTGCCTAGCTCAGCGAGACACAGGAAGCTCCCTGAGGAAAAGAGGCAGGAGGGGTGGCTCCCCAGCCACCACGTGGCCTTCCTGCAGCCCCATGGGCCTGGCATACACATCTGGGAATCATGTGGTACCCTCCTCCGCCCCTGCTAAAGGCCCCGGTGGGAGAGATCGCTGAGCTTCAAGACTCACGGCCTCCTCCTGGAAGCTTTCCTTACCCTTCTCCAGCCCACACTCATCCTACCCCCAGTGGGGTTAGGGACCTCAACTGGGCTCCTATGTCATTCTGTGTTTAGTTTCATCCTAACATCTACAAGGCTGTTGAGAACTATAATTTTTCTTGGTATCTCCAGCAAAAGTGCCTGGCACAAAGTTATAAATGATGCAGGAATAAATCTTGACTCCACGTGTCCTTAATAGCAAGATACCAAGGGTAGGGTGAGGGAACTGGAAAGAAAAAGGAAACAAGTGGGATTTTTCAGATTATGCATGCTCACTGGTGAGGGCCTCCGTCTCCTTGAGGAGAGGAAGACCACTAGGAAACGCTCAGACACAGCTGTTGACCACAGCATCAGTGCAGGAAATGATACTCTAGGGACAATCTTCTGTCCACTAAGTGCAGAGGAAACCAGTGGGAACACTGGTGCCCTGGAGCTTTGGTGTGACCTGCCCCCCTCCCCCCTACTCTCCAGGGCCCCCAGGCATGGGGGAGGAAGGGAGGGAGAGAGAAAAAAACGAGCGGAAATGCTACTGTTTTCCCCTTTTCCTCCCCTCTTCCTACCATGACCCCACTTGTCACTCAGGGCCCCACATCTGCTAGCTCCTTGCCCCTCTGACAGTGGGGGAAAACCACTAGGCTCTACCACTGACCAAGAATCGGAACCACAGCAGCACCCGCCACCAGGGACTCAACACAGAGAAATGCCACCTCAAGCCACTAAAGATATCGTGATACCAACAACTGCAGCCAAATCCTGGAGGGCGGTCTTGCTAAGGCGTGAGATGGCCATGCCTCTAGATGTCTTTCAAAAACGCAAAGGGAATGCCTGTGCCCATAACTGGAGAAGAAGAACACATGTCCTAAGTGGGTGGTTCCCGGGGGTGATGATTAAGGTCAAGTCTTAGAACTGAGACTGTCCTCTAGGAGTTAAACTGTGAGAGTCCCAACTCCCCAGATCTCAGACATGCAAGTCACCCTAGAGAGAAAGCTCTCCTACCTGTCTTTCCCAGCACTTATCACAGCTGTGTGATAATTATGATGTGAATAATTATATCTAATCTAGTGTCTGTCCCCAAACGGGTAGGGCCCTTATCTGTCTGTTCATCACTGTACTCCTAGCATCAAGCATAGTAGGTGCTTTGTACTGAATGAACTTAAAAAAAAAATTTTTTTTTTTTGACAGAAAGACTGAATGGCTCTCAGGGCTGTGAAACATAGAGTGACCCCAACATCTCCCACCCCAAAAAATGTGTCAAATAAAAAGCACGTGAGTAAGTGATGAAGCACATAAAGACGAGAACCACAGAAGTAGACACGCAAGGCATATCCCCACACTGTCCAAAAGGCAAAGAGCTCAGCAGGCAGGCCACACAGTGGATGCCCGGTGACTACCTGCTGAGTGGAGAACAAATGAATCGGTAGGACTCCTTGGTGAAGAGAGACACAGGAAGGGGATCAGCATCTGAGGCTCTAACATTGAATCACAGCACCAGCTGCTTTCATTCCATATTCCCCGAGCAACTTCCTAGATATCAGACTCCCCTGAGGCAGACAAGGGAGCAGACCCTGTACTGGTCAGAACAAACTGACTGCCCTGTCCAATGTAAATTTAAAAGCTGGCATCTTGAGAGTCTCTTGAGTTCAAGAATTAGTAATTGATGCCTACTGTCTCCCAGGTACAGAGCTTGGTGCTGACAATACACATGCAAAAGAATGAAGTTGGATCCCTACCTCATACTATACATAAAAATTAACTCAAAATGGCCCCATAGGCCTAACTATAACAGCTAAACCTATAAAATTCTTAGAAGAAAACAGGTGTAAATCTTTGTGGCCTTGGATTAGGCAATGGGTTCTTCAACATGGCACCAAAAGCACAGGAACAAAAGGAAAAAATAGACAACTTGGATTCATCAAAATTAAACACTTTTGTACTTCAAAGGACACTGTCAAGGAAGTGAAAAGACAACCCATAGAGTGGGAGAAAATATTTACAAATTCTATGTCTGATTAGGGTCCATACTTAACAACTCAACAATAAAAACACAAATAACCCAATTGAAAATGGACAAATGATTTGAACAGACATTTCTCCAAAGATTTATAAAAGGCCAATAAGCACATGAAAAGATGCTCAACATCATTACACATTAGGGAAATGAAAATCAATACCACTATGAAACACTACTTCTTATCCATTAGGATAGCTATAATCAAAAAGACAGACAATAACAAGTGTTGACAAAGATACGGAGAAACTGGAACTCTCCATACATCGCTAGTGGAAATGTAAAACGGTGCACCTGGTATGGAAAACAATTAGGCAGTGTGATGGTTAAGATTGTGTGTCAACTTGGCTTGGCCATGATACTCAGTGTTTATATGTGATCACTCCCATGATGGGATCTGCTGTAAGTAGTCAATCAGTTGAAAGGGCGTGTGGCCTGTATCTGAATATAAGCAGACATTCTGGCTTTTTGCTCTGCTCTAGATCCTGCGGCTGCCTCCTGTTCGTCTGACCTCCGGTTCGCGGGACTTGAGCTATCAGCTTATCTGCCAATCTTGGGATCTGCAGATCTTCACAGCCTGTGAGCAAGAGCCCTGCTCTCCAACCTGCCCATTTTGGGTTTGCCAACCCCTGCGGCTACGTGAATGGGAAGAAGCCTCTATCCTGATCCATGGACTTGGGACATTCCAGCCTCCACAATTGCATGAGCCATTTCCTTGATATAAATCTCTCTATATATATATTTATATGTTTTACTGGTTTTGCTTCTCTAGAGAACCCAACCTAGGAAGGCAGTTCCTCAAAAAGTTAAACACAGAGTTGTCATGTGATCCAAATATTCCATTCCTAGGTATGTAACCAAAGAATTGAAAACATACATCCACATAAAAACTTGTGCATGAATGTGCACAGCAGCATTATAGCCAGTACATCTATACAATGGAATATTAAGAAGTACTGATATATGTTACAACATGGGCAAACCATGAAAACATGCTAAGTGAAAGAAGGCAGTCAAAAAGGCCCCATATGATTGCATTTACATGAAATGTCCACAATGGGCAAATCTATAGAGACAGAAAGTAGATTAGTGATTGCCACAGCCTAGGAGGAATAAGGTGACTGGGGAGGTGGGGGATGGAAAGTGATTGCTAGTTTCTTTTTATGGGAGACAAAATATTCTAAAATTAAATTTTGGTGATGGTTGCATAACCTTGTGAATATACTAAAAAACACTGACTTGTACACTTTAATTGGGTGAATCTTATGGTATGTGAATTATATCTCATAAAGCTGTTAAAAAGGGACAGGGGTCTCTGCTAGTCTATTCATGGCCCTGGGCCCTTCCTGAGTTGTATGGTATGGAAGGTATAGCCCAAAGGAGGGATAGGCATAGATGCAGATGAAAAAGCAAGACTATCTCCCGACATGAGCCCCAGACCACAGCTGGGATAAACTCTGGGCTTCACGTGTCCACATATGCATAGGCACACAATTTCCTAGCTCTGCCTCTCATGACCATTTTGCCCTCCAAGATGCAGTTCAACTGTGAAGTCCAGAGAGATAAGTACTGCAGTTGGAGGCACCCAAACCTGTACACAAATTTATTTGCTCTCCCCTCACCTTAGCAACAACCCTAACCCACACTGTCTTTTTCCCCTTCCTGGGGATGCTGCAGCTCCCCCTGGTAGTCTCAGAAGCTGCTCTCCCTCACCCTGCCCTTGTTAGGCAGCTGGAGTTAGAGTTACAGAAGGGGCAGATAGCATACACATACCTTTCCCACCAACACTCTTAATGAAAGTCAATAATTTGTCTAAGAAACTTCAAAGGCTAGAGAAGAACAAATGTAAAATGCAAAAGAGCTTGGGTTCACAGCCTCTGACTAGTGCTTTACTCAACAATAAAATATTTGTTGGCTAGGATGTTCCCCAATGATGCATGGCTCTATCTGGGCTCCCCATGGCTCTATCAAGAAGATTCCCAGAATTGGCTTCTCACTGCCACCTCGAGTTATTAACGAGCTGGATCAGCTTTTTCGAGAACAGTGCTGTCCGACAGAAATACAACATGAGCCACATATGCGATTTTAAATGTTCCAAAACCAAACCAAACCAAACCAAACCAAACCTGATGCCGCCGAGTTGATTCCGACTCATAGTGACCCTATAGGACAGAGCAGAGCTGCCCCATAGAGTTTCCAAGGAGCACCTGGTGGATTTAAACTGCCGACCTTTTGGTTAGCAACTGTAGCACTTAACCACTATGCCACCAGGGTTTCCTTAAATGTTCTTGTAGCCACATTAAAAAATGTAAAAAGAAATAGGTGAAAACAATTTTAATATATTTTACTTAACCCAATATATCTAAAACATTTTCAATATGTAATTAATAAAAAATTATTAATGAGATACTTTGTATTCTTTTTTCCATATTCAGTCTTCAAAGTCCAGTGTGTATTTTACACAGCACATCTCAATTTGGACTAGCCACATTTTAAGTGCTTGACAACCAGCCACATGTGGCTAATGGTTGCCGTATTGGACAGTACAGTTCTAAAACCTGGTTCATGTTGCAAAATGAGTATTTTCAAAGCCTGGTATTTTATGTAAGTATTAATTTAATAGTAACAAGTACTAAAGAGGAAACTGAAGCTTAGTGAGGTGAAGGGACTTGCCCAAGGTCTCTGCTGGTAAGTGGTAGTGGTTAACGGCAGAGACTCTGCAGTCAGATGAGAGATGTACACGGGAAGTACTCTGCACCGTGCCTGGCTTCTATCCACTACTCACGTACCAAGAAACATTAATTATCATTATGATACTGATTAATGCGATCACCACGCAGGGAGAGAGAGGGCAGTGTGAAGAAGGCAGAGATTACTTGGGGTCGCTAGTAGGGAAAATCCTGCATCAGCTCTAAGACATGTCACCAAGGCCGCCCCCTGAACAGCTGTACCACTCACCGGACTGGTGGGTGAGGAAACCACAAGGTTCAGTCCAACTCTGTCACCCTCTAGTGGCTTCTCTGGGCCACTTCCTTGGCGGACTGCCCTGGTCTTCTCTCTCACAGGACCAGAAGGCTTCTGGGCTGAAGTGTCCCCTGAAGGGGCAGTTTGGGCAGCACTCAGCTGCAGCAAGTCCAGGGTGCCAGGCATCTGAAAAAGTGGCTCCTGCTTGTGGTCACCATCTGGAGTCCGGGAGGATGCCTGGGCAGGGAGGGGCTCTGCAGGCACATCAAGATGCAGGTATGCACTGGTGTCAAGGCCACGGCACGAAAGCGAGGACTGGAGTGTGGAAGTCTCAGTTTCTTGGCTCAGTCCGTTGGTTGGCACAGAGTTTACCTGGGCTTTGCTGAATTCCGACAACACCCTAGAAGTTTTTAAACAAAGAAACCTGTGTGACTGGTTGTCGGCTAAGATTCCCAAGGCTACTGGGGCAGTGGTAAGAATGGAAAACTGCTGTTTGTTGATTTTTTAAAAAGCTCTTATCTACTGCACTCCTTGTTGCTCACATGCTCACACGCAGTCCCCCTTCTCTGACACTCCCCACCAAGACTTAGGCAGATTGGGTGGGAGGTTAGTTGTGGAAAAGCCTACAAAGCAGAGAAAGAGGAGTTGATATGAATGGGAACTGATTACTCTTCTGAGAAAACCACGCCCCACCAAATTCTGGGGCTCCAGCATTCTCTCATGGTTATAATCTGCGTGTCTTTTACCTTCTGAATAGCCTAACCGTGGGCCTAGAGTTTGCTCAGCCAAATAAATGGTTGTGTGGGCAACTGCTTCCTCAAACGCCATCTGTGACCGAGCAAAACAAGCAGAGATTCCATGAACATGAGTGTGCCTCAGAGCTGGGCTCCCCAGTCGCATAGCAGCTAAGGCACCAAGACCCTGGAACGTGGACCTAGGTGAAGTAAGAGTCAAAAGGTTTTCTAAGTAGGAGACCCATTATGGTCCTGGACCAGTAACTACGGCAGCAGGGTAGGGGTGGGGGTCCATAGGCTGGACTAGGTGTGGAGTCAGGGAAGCCTCAGCATTCCCAGAAAATACTTCTGAGATCAGTATACACAAGGTGTGCAAGAGTATGTATACAACTATACACAGGGTGTGTACCTACTCACTCCTCCTTTCAAGGCTAGTACTTCCTGCCCCCTCAATGGTACTTTCTGGGGTTACAGGAAGCCATTCTTACTGCCTTTGTGTACACACACACACTCTTGGGCTTTCTGGAATGTGTACTGGTTAGTGACTCTTCCTCTCCCTCCTGAGGTTTCTGAGAATTCAGGTTCCATTTCTGAAATAAACCCACTTGCTATCTCCTCCTTGAGACCAGCAGAATATGTCATCAACAAATGTAGGTTCAGATGGCAACAAAGCTGTTCGGAGCCCAAAAGACTGCACACTTCTGCCCTAATGGCTTATCCAGAAGACATATCAAACTGCCTTTAATTTGGGCTTATGGAAATGAGGATTTTAGAACTCAAGTTGCTTGCCTGATTGTCTTCCCACTGCTATTACCTACACCATCATAACCCTAAAAAGCCTTTTAAGACATTGTTGTCAAGAACAGGTGAGCAGCCCATACATTTACGGGCAATGGATTTTCAACATGGGCACCAAGGCACTTCAATGGGGAAAGAATAGTCTTTTCAACAAATGGTGCTGGGACAACTGCTTATCCATATGCAAAAGAATGAACTTGGGCCCCTACCTTACACCGTATAAAAAATTAACTCAAAATGGATCACAGGAAACCCCGAGAGTATGGCCCCCGGATACCCTTTTGGCTCAGTAATGAAATCACTCCCAAGGTTCACCCTTCAGCCAAACATTAGACAGCCCCATAAAACAAAATGAGACTAATGGGGCACAACAGCCCAGGGACAAGGACTAGAAGGCAGGAAGGGACAGGAAAGCTGGTAACAGGGAACCCAAGGTTGAGAAGGGACAGTGTTGACATGTCGTGGGGTTGTTAACCATTGTCGTAAAACAACAGGTGTACTAACTGTTTAATGAGAAACTATTTGTTCTGTAAACCTTCATTTAAAGCACAATTAAAAACAAAACAGATGACAGGCCTAAATATAAGAGCTAAAACTGTAAAACTCTTAGAAGAAAACATAAGTGTAAATCTTTGTGGCCTTGAATTAGGCCACGAGCTCTTAGATATTACAGCAAAAGCACAAGCAATCAAAGAAAAAACAGACTTCATCAAAATGAAACATTCTTTGATGGTTATAAGGACAGGGTGGCAGGGAGAGGTGTACTCACTAACTAGATAGTAGATAAGAATTATCTTAGGTGAAGGGAAGGACAACACACAATACAGGGGAAATCAGCACAACCGGACTAAACCAAAAGCTAAGAAGTTTCCTGGATACAAACAAACACTTCGAGAGACAGAGAAGCAGGGGTGGGGGTCTGGGGACCATGGTTTCAGGGGATATCTAGGTGAACTGGCGTAACAAAGTTTATAAAGAAAATGTTCTGCATCCCACTTTGGTGAGTGGCGTTTGGGGTCTTAAAAGCTAGCGAGTGGACATCTAAAATGCATCAATTGGACCCAACCCACCTGGAGCAAAGGAGAATGAAGAACACCAAAGACACAAGGAAAATATTAGCCCAAGAGACAGAGAGGGCCACATAAACCAGAGATTCCATCAGCCTGAGACCAGAAGAACTAGATGGTGCCTGGCTACCACCAATGACCGCCCTGACAGGGAACACAACAGAGAGTCCCTGATGGAGCAGGAGAAAAGTAGCGTGCAGAACTCAAATTCTACTAAAAAGACCAGACTTAATGGTCTGACTGAGACTGAAGGGACCCCAGAAGACATGGCCCCCAGACTCTCTGTTAGCCAGAACTGAAACCATTCCCAAAGCCAACTCTTCAGACATAGACTAGACTGTAAGACACAAAATAATACTCATGAAGAGAGTGCTTCTAAGCTCAAGTAGATACATGAGACTAGATGGGCAGCTCCTATCCAGAGGTGAGATGAGAAGGCAGAAGGGAATAGGAGCCGGCTGAATGGACACGGGAAATCCACGGTGGAAAGGAGGAATGTGCTATCACATTATAGCGAGACCAACTAGGGTCACATAACAATGTGTGTACAAATTTTTGTATGAGAAACTAACTTGAACTGTAAACTTTCACTTAAAGCACAATAAAAAAAAAAAAAAAGAAACACTTTTGTGCTTCAAGGGCATTATTAAGAAAGCAAAATGACAGGTGATCTCATACCACCAAGAAAGCAGTGCTGGGAGCAGAGTGCATCCTTTGGACCCGGGGTTCCTGTGCAGAGAAGCACCTAGTCCAGGGGAAGATTGATGAGAAGGACCTTCCTCCAGAGCCAACAGAGACAGAAAGCCTTCCCCTGGAGCTGATGCCCTGAATTTAGACTTCTAGCCTACTAGACTGTGAGAAAAAAAGTTTCTCTTTGTTAAAGCCATCCACTTGTGGTATTTCTGTTACAGCCAGCACTAGATAACTAAGACAGACTTTGGTACCGAGAGAGTGGAGTGCTGCTCTAACAGATACCTAAAATGTGGAAGCAGTTTTGAAACCGTGAATGCATAGAGGACTCAGAAGGAAGTGGGGAGAACTGTTAACACCGCAGAAGGCGCAGATGGTGAGAAGCAGCAGCACAGGATCATCATCAGCAGAACAAGCAGACCAGTGTGAGATGGTGCTGGAGCCAACACACAGAGCTAGAGAGCTGAGTGTCTCTGCCCAGGAGGCTTCCTGGAGGAGTGGCGTGCCTCCAGGCACTTAGAGGTGGAGCTGTAGAGCTTTGGAACACTTGCCCCTGCAGGGCAGATGCGGGTGTGAGGCCCGAGGGCCCAGAAGCCAAGGAACCAGGAAGCAAAAGCTGAAGAGACAAGGAATTCAGGAAGCCGAGCTGCCTCAGTCACAAAGGTATGGCCATGACCTCTGGAGTTTCAAAGAGTGGAGCCACGGCCTCTTGTGTTTCTAAGGGTGGAGGTGCCACGTGGATGGACTGGAAGAATGATGCACCTAAAGCCGCGGAGCAGAGTTGCAGTGGGCCTGGAATGTGGAGCTGAAGCCCAGGGCCGAGGGGCCTCCACTCAGAATCCGTAGAGTGTGGCCAATACCTAGAGTCTGGAGGGCAGGGTCATTGTGTAAACTGTCTCAGAGAACAGAGGATTATTTCCAAGGCCTTGAGGGCTAATGTAATGTGTTCTGCTGACTTGCTTGGTGTGTGTTATGCCTTCTTTCCCTTCAGTTTCTCCCACTTGTAATGGAAATGTCCAGCTTGTGCCTGTTCTGCTATTGTACCTTTGGAAGCAGGTAACTCATATTCTAGATTTCACAGATGAATAGGAATTTTTGGATTTTGGACTTGGAGTTAAGACTTTTGCTATGATACGATGGGGTGAATATGCTTTATATGTGGCAAGGACATGAATTTTGGGGAGTTAAAGGGTGGAATGTCATGGACTGAATTGTATCCCCAAAAAACATGTGTATCAATTTGGCTAGGCCATGATTCCCAGTATTGGGTGATTGTCCACCATTTTGTCATCTGATGTGATTTTCCTATGTGTTCTAAATCCTACCTCTATGATGTTAATGAAGTAGGACAGGTGGCAGTTATGTTAATGAGGCAGAACTCAATCTACAAGATTGGATTGTGTCTTGAGCCAGTTTCTTTTGGGATATAAAAGACACAAGCAAGCAGAGAGACAGGGAGACCTCATACCACCAAGAAAGCAGCGCCAGGAACAGAGTGCGTCCTTTGGACCCAGGGTTCCTGTGCAGAGAAGCTCCTAGTCCAGGGAAAGATTGATGAGGATCTTCCTCCGGAGCCAACAGAGAGAGAAAGCCTTCCCCTGGAACTGACACCCGGAATTTAAACTTCTAGCCTACTAGATTGTGAGAAAATACATTTCTCTTTGTTAAAGCCAAAAAAAAAGAAAAAAAAAAGTAAAAAGACAACTCACAGAGTGGAAAAAAACTGTACAAATCATATATCTGATAAGGGTATAGCATTCAGAATATATAACAAGCTGTTATAACTCAACAATGAAAGGCAAATAACCCAACTGAAAAATAGGCATAGGATTTGAATAGACAGTCTCCAAAGAAGATATACAAATGGCCAATAAGCACATAAAAAGATGCTCAACATCACAAGCCATTAAACCCATTGCCATCGAGTCAATTCCGACTCATAGTGACCCTATAGGACAAAGCAGAACTGCCCCATAGGATCTGCAAGGAGCAGCTAGTGGATTTAAACTGCCAGCCTTTTGGTTAGCAGCTGTAGCTCTTAACCACTATAATACCAGGGCTCCCACAAGCCATTAGGGAAATGCAAATCAAAACCAAAATGAGATACTACT